ATACATATATATTGCACACTCACATACTCTCACACACATATATTGCAAACATACACATACACGCAAACACACATAATAGCATACACACTCATATACACGTACTCACATACACATGTAGACACACACACACACACACACACACACATATATTGCACACATACACATATAGACACACACAATCATATCACACACACTTATAAATTGCACAGGTAAAAAAAAAAAACACACCAAACACACATGTATATTGCACAAACACACACACACACACAGACTCACATTGACAACCATACATGCTCACATACTTGCATATACACATACATACTACACATACATATACACACACTCACATACTGTATATTGCACGCATAAAGACACACACACACATATACTCACATGCACATGTAGACCCCCCCCCACACACACATATATTGCACACATGTACACACACGCATACATGCACACATACTCGCATAAACACACATATACACATACATACTACACACATATCACACATGCATATTGCAGCCATATACACAGACACACACACACACACGCACACACACACTAACCTATACAGTACATATAGACACACTCACACACAAATCACAAACACATTTAATAACACACACATCACATACAGATACACACACTTAGATATACACAGACACACATATGTACACACTCACATACACATATAGACACACACAAGCATATATATAAATATATACCCATACATTCATCCACGATAAAACCCCAACAACCCCCCCCCCCCTCCAACCCAATATATATATATTGCACACACACACACACACACATATTCACACATACTACACAGACAGACACACACACACTCTCTCAAACCCTCACATACACACACATATATACATAAATCTGCATATATTTGTACATACTCCTGTGCATGAATAGCTGAAGCACCTGTTTATGGTCATTGTGTATCCTGCTGATCATCCTAGAAACAGAAACTGGAGAGAGAGAGAGTGAGAGTGAGAGTGATCTGCAGACCCATATTTCAGCACAGAGATTATGAGCACTCACACTGTTATTAATTAAGGAGATGCTGCTTCTGGCCTGAACTGTGGAAATATAATAACTCAGTCTGCAGCTTAGAAGACCCGAAAGATTTCACTGCAGGTACTCTGTAAACAGTAAGGTGACAGGCTGGCAAGAGGAGCTTCTGGATTTGTCACATTTAGGATTTAATTTAATATTTTATTTATTTATTTAAAAAGTAATAGTAATCTTTATGTATTAATTTATTTTTGGTCAGATGAGCTGTGTTTATTTATTTATTATTATTATTATTATTATTATTATTATTATTATTATTATTATTAATGTTTTATTAATTATTTTAATATTTTAATCATGCATTTAAACTAATAAAAATATTAATTTATTATTATTATTATCAGACGAGCAGTGTTTATTATTATTAATGTTGTTGTTGTTGTTGTTACTATTATTAATATTATTATTTTACTTTATTAATTATTTATTTTATTATTTGTATTATTTATTTAAAAACAATAAAACATTTTATTTATTAATTTATTATTATTCAGGTGAGCAGTGTTTATTATTGTAGTTGTTTTTATTACTATTATTGTTATGATTATTATTATTATATTTTATTCCTTTATGTGAATTATTTATTTAAAAATAATAAAACATTTAATTTAATATTGTATTATTATTCAAATGAGCAGTGTTTATTATTATTATTTAGATTATTATTAATTATTATTATTATTATTAAAACATTATTTATTGTTATTGTTTATTAATTTGTATTATTATTATTATTATTATTATTATTATTATTAATATTAAATTATTATTAAATTATTATTTATTATTGTGTAATTAGTATTATTATTATTACATTATTTATTATTATTATTATTTACTTGTTTGTATTATATTATTATTATTATTATTAATTTTGTACTATTAGTATTATTATTAGTAGTAGTATTTTATTATTTATTAATTAATATTATTATTATCATTTTATTATTATTATTATTATTATCATTATCATCATTATTTATTGTTATTATATTTTGTTTTATTTTATTTGATTATTTATATTGTTTATTTATATATATTTTTTACAAGTAATAAATGCATGTCAGTTCTGGTTTCCTGCATAAAAAACAATCTTCACAAAAAGAAGATAGTCATACATAAAATAAAATAATTATTCCTTACCTAGAGGTTTTTACCAATCTAATTAGTAAATTATACAAACTCCTAAATCTAGAAGCATTTTCTAAACCAGTAAAATTGATTGTCTTTTTTCACAATAATCTAACATTATGTTTTGATATTTCAATAAAAACAAGACAAAGAGCTCAGCATTTCAGCAGACTGATTATAATTGATAATGTTCCTTGACTCATTATTTTCTTGGAAGATTATGATGAGCCCCATCAGGGTTCAGCAGAAATCTCAGTGCTTGCGTTGATAAGTGTGTGTGTGTGTGTGTGTGTGTGTGTGTGTGTGTGTGTGTGTGTGTGTGTGTGTGTGTGTGTGTGTGTGTGTGTGTGTGTGTGTGTGTTGTGTGTGTGTGTGTGTGTGTGTGTGTGTGTGTGTGTGTGTGTGTGTGTGTGTGTGTG